GGAGCTCCACTGGCTGCCGCAGTCCTCTCAACATCTGAACTTTTTTTCTATTTACGCAATAAATCTGTAAAAAGGTAAGATAGTAAGGCTTAAAGTATAAAGTTCTCACCTTAAATCATTTTTAAATGTACTTTTATAGAACAACGGCAACAGAAAAGACAACTTTTAACTTAATACTCTGAGCTCTGTGAGCTCCACTGGAAGCTGCTGCTGCTGCAGTGCATGCTGGGAAACCTGTCAGTGGTGAGCCCAATTCACTTTCCAGTTCACCAGATCATCCAGTCAAATTGATTCAAAGTTTCTATCTAAGGAAAACCAGCTGATTGCATCGACTCATTGACTCTTCAGCAATCCCTCACACTAAGCATGCTTGTAGCAACAGTGGAGAGGAAAAACTCCCTTTTAACAGGAAGAAACCTCCTGCAGTACCACCAAGCAACTGTAAAAGGCGGCCCTGTCAAGGAAACACAAAGCCAGGCAGACGAGCTCCGAGCCAGCTTCCATGTCAGAGGATGAAGAGAACACATCCAGTTAGTCACAGTCAGAGAAACAGGACTACACTGGAAAACAGGCCGATCTCCAGCATCTATAAACAAAGGTGTTGATGGCAGCAGCACAGCTGATATTTCTCTCCATGATGGAGTCACAGCCAAACAGGAACAACCGACAAGTCTGCTCTGATGCATGCTGGGTAAAGAGGGAGGGGCGAGTACAACTTCCGGGGACTTTGTCTATTCTCATTCTCTATTCTTGTGAATTGGAACAGTGCTGGAACTGATGATGTTTAACGAGGACATGAGAACCCACAGGTACACATATCTAGAAACGGCCATGGTGATAATTGGAGTGATTAAAGGTTGATCTACATTCATATCTCAGCCTGTCTTGGTGAACACATTGTTACAATGAATTGATTAAATGGCAATAAATAAATACAGGTTGCAGTAATTATGCTTTTCAAGGTCATCAAGTACAATAAAACATGTTCACGTTTTTTTCTCCGTAACTTCCACCTTTATCAATTAATTAATGCAATTTCAGCTACTAATTAATGCATTCTATACGAGGTGAAAGCTAGGTATGCATTCAGACACTTTATGAATACTTAAATTAGCAAAGGTGGAGCCGTGCATCATGTGATGATTTATGACACTCCAACCAGCAGGAGAGCAAATAAAGAATTTCTTATTTCCCTGTTTATGAGCTGCAGCTTTACAGGCCTTCAACTATCCAGCTTCATGAGGCGTTCCAGGTAGTTTTTACTAGTCTGGGCTCTACAATGCTAACATGAATAAAAATGAAAAATAAAATGCAGGCGCTGTGTGTAAAAAAAGTGCAGAAAAACTGTTTATTATTGCAACTTTAAGTATCAAACCTTTTTGATTTTAAAGGCAATATTTGTTTTAACTTCAGGTGAATTTGTAAGAATGCTGCAAATGTCGTCCTTAAAGTTGCTTTTTGTTAACTTAGATTTAATAAACTATAATTAACGATACAGTTAGCACTGTATGAGTTTATGCTACAGGTAGCATTAGCTCAAAGAATAATAAAATAGGGAAATGGTTTTAAAATAATTCATAAACTTTAAAGTCGGATCTTAATTTTGATGATGTTGTTCCTCCTTTTTTGTTTTGAAGGTGCTAAACAAAGTACTTAATAATTTTCCTGTGGTCATGATATGAGATTTGAAGGAAGAAAACAGAACGGTGTGCAGATAATCTGGTATTTATGGTCACACATGGCATAATTAGTGGGCCTAATTCCAGGTTATTAAATGTTATCTTCTAGGTGATCACACATTTATCAACCCACAGAGGCATTTACTGTCTTTAACATGTATCAATAAACAGTAAGGAAAAAACCCAAAAAGTCTAACGTATGAGGAAAATAATTCTTTTCTGAAAAGTGTGGCATGCATTTGTATTCTACCTTGCTCTTTTAGATGTAACATCTCCACCAACCTTTTTATATGAAGAGACTGAAATGTTTTCCTTTCATTTGTATTTATTTACTTCCATCTAGCTTCCCATAATGCTATAGGGCAGGGATCTGTAACCTGCAGCTCCAGACCCAGATGTGGCTCTTTGGACCCTCTACACCGGCTCTTAAAGGAATAGTACACCCAAAACATGATTAGCCTTCATTTTCTACTCACCCCCATGCTGAACAACACTCTGGAGTACTTTTTTGATATCTCAAATGCATCTGGAGATCTGGGAGGCTTCTTGCTGTCTGCTGACATTCAAATAATGGAGGTCTACGGTGCCCGAGGCAGAAAGGTCCATAAAAGTCCACAAAAACGTGTCAATATTACTCCATACTGCTCGTCCAATGTATTCCAAGTGTCCTGAGTGGGTAGCGTCCAGAATTTACTCGAAACGAAGTCATTTAGAATGTTTTTAGAGCATAAACAGTAGTGTATAGGATTTCCTAAAAGCGCGTTCACGAGTCTACGGAAACCGCGGCAGACCAAACCAGATGAAAGTGCGCATTCAGCGTCTGCTCTGCCGATAATGCAAGCGTAGAAGAAGAAATGTGCTGTTTACCTGTGCAAAGAAAGAAACAACAAAAGAAAAATGTCTGAGGACTTCAGTGTTGAGGAAGAGCATGAGTTCTTTGCCGAGCTGAATGCGCACTTTCATCTGGTTTGGTCTGCCGCGGTTTCCGTAGACTCGTGAACGCGCTTTTAGGAAATCCTATACACTACTGTTTATGCTCTAAAAACATTCTAAATGACTTCGTTTCGAGTAAATTCTGGACGCTACCCACTCAGGACACTTGGAATACATTGGACGAGCAGTATGGAGTAATATTGACACGTTTTTGTGGACTTTTATGGACCTTTCTGTCTCGGGCGCCATAGACCTCCATTATTTGAATGTCAGCAGACAGCAAGAAGCCTCCCAGATCTCCAGATGCATTTGAGATATCAAAAAAGTACTCCAGAGTGTTGTTCAGCATGGGGGTGAGTAGAAAATGAAGGCTAATCATGTTTTGGGTGTACTATTCCTTTAATAGTGGCTAAAATGTATATAAAAAGCTAAATAATTGTTAGAAATATTTTATTTATACTCCGTTTGTGTTTCATCGGTTGCAGTGTTGGGCACGTTACTTTGAAAAAGTAAGTAGTTATAGTTACTAGTTACTTCTCCCAAAAAGTAACTGAGTTACTAACTGAGTTACTCCACAATAAAAGTAACTAGTTACTAGCAAAAGTAACTATTGCGTTACTTTTGCGTTTCTCGCCCCCGTAAACCTCACCACCCGGCCCCCACCTTCTCGCTGTGTGTTTCAAAGCCAGCTGAATAGAGCGGACGACAAAGACAAGAACCTGCAGAGAGTTTAGCATTTATTGCAACTCAAGGTAAATGACATCAGGGGGGAACGCCATGTGAAGTTTTTTAACAGGGCGTTCAGATCTGGTGAGTGAATGAAAGGAATAACTAGTGATGTCTGATTCTGAAATCCTGTGTGTTTGGGTTGTTATAGATACTGCAACATCTATCTATCTATCTAGATCTATACTCTGTGTGTGACATAAAATATGGATCTCCATCCCTGCCACAAAGGCCATCAAATAATGTTTAACATAAAAAATACAATAGGTTGAAAAGGCAAAGTATCCATCCATCCATCCATCCATCCATCCATCCATCCATCCATCCATCCATCCATCCATCCATCCATCCATCCATCCATCCATCCATCCATCCATCCATCCATCCATCCATCTATCCATCCATCCATCCAGATTTCTCTCTTTCTCCATATAGGCTAATGATCGTTCACGCTCTCCATAGTTCTCCTGTGGCGCAAGCACAGGTCGACTGTTGCGCGCCTTTAGCTAGCATGCGCGTTTCCTGTCGCTTGCGTGGTCAATTGTGCCGCCTGCGCTGTGCGGAGATGCAGGGGAAACCGTATCTGATGGGGAAACGAAGCTCGACGTAACACCGGTATTTCCATCTGGAAAACGCTGTTTTGCTGCTGGAGTCCTCCTGACTCTCCATCTCTCTGTGTGTGCTGTACGTTAACACCCGCCAGCAGAAACACCCACCTACCCAACTGACAGACGGAATCTCACTATTCATCAGCTAATCTCATCCTCCCCTCTCTAAGGACAAGGCGTGCACGAGTCCTAGCATGAAAAAAGGTTCATTGTGCGACCTGAGTGACGCGCAGTAACGGGGTGTCTGCAATGGTAACTGCGTTATAGTTACAGTCAAAGTAATTAGTTAGATTACTCGTTACTAACACAAGGTAACGGAGTCCGTTTCTTCCATCACTGCTAATCAGAGGCCTCCTGTCTGCGGTCACCTACAATTTTGGGAATGTGCATCAGAGTGTCTGCGGAAGGGGCGGGGGGTATATCTGCGTTAACTGCGATACACGCAGATGGCCTTGTTTCTAAGCGTAAACCAGCCTTGACCCTGTCAGTTTGGATGAAAAGCTATGTTAGGCTAGGTAGGCTGCTGCTGTGCTAAACTCTTTCAGCTTTAAGATGGTGGATTGAGTGGAGAACTCGGATTATATAACTCGTTTTATATCCCAACTTTGCTTTAAACTCTCTCCTTGACCTATTTGGCGTGTTCCTTGTTCCAGACAACTATAAACAGTTTTATTAGCTGTATCAGAACAAAAGGAGGCTCAGTAAAAATGCCTGCAACACCTTTCAGATTTACATTCATAAGAAGCTGTAAACCATAAATAATCCATTTACACACTGCCTCATGCCGGCGTATTGAGCAGCAACAGGTAACATGGATGTTTTTAAACGATGAAGACTTTCCGCTGCATCTGTTAGGGAGGCAGAATAAAATGTGAGGTGAGGATTTTCTTTGTTTCTGTCCTCGGAGCGGATGTGAAGCTGTTGAAATGCCCCCCCTCAGTGCAGCAAGGCTGCCTCGCAGAAACGCGAAGGGCCAGACCCAGCTGTCGTATAATCAGTCACCCAAACTCCTGCCCCGGGGCTAAAAGTCAAAGGATTGCCGAGACCTGATGTAACACTTGTATGATTCTCCCCTTTGAAACTTCAAACTCCAGTTTGTGAGCAAAGTCCTGTCTATCTTCTGAATAGGAATCTCCGACCACTGACCAAACTCCATTTGCAACCACTGCCTATTTGTACCTTCTCCTCAATGACTACATTTCATTTCCCTCAAGGCAAGTGGCAGGGGAAGCAAAACAGTAAAAAAAAAATGAACAAGGCAGCGGAAGGAAGAGGGGAAAGAGGAAATAAAGATGACGGCTGTGGCCTGGAGGAAAACGAGGAACTCGCTCTGTCCTGTTTTGGGGATTGTTTCTGAGAGATCTGCAACACAGTGGAAATGTGAGGCACATCCAGGAGCGTGTTGATAAGAGTAAAACAGACGGAGACAATATGCTGCCTGCAGCAGATATGAGGCCGGAAGAAAGAGGTGGTTGCAGGAGATGGAGGAGATAGGTGAGTGGAGCGTCATGGCAAAGACCTTGTCAACAGATAACTATCTGCAAATAAGCCAGCTTATGCAAGCCCCTGCGGCGCAGCGGCGAGGAGCGTTTCATTTGTGCAGACTGATTGGTGTGCTGCGATTTTACAATCAGGAAAACACTATTTTTTTGCTCAAAAATGTATTTTTTGGGCTGATTTAGTCATAAATTTGCTGCATTTAAGACGCTAGAGCCAAAGTATATAGATCTACAGATGCTGGTTTTCACTTGAGAGGCCTTTCAGTCACGATTCTTATTGAAAACAATGTTTTTAACGCTTTTTTAAATTTGAATTCAATAAAAAATGGTCTTTAATCTTCTTTTTTGATTATTTAAATAAATAAACCAAAAAAAAATATATAAAAGATTTGATGATTTAACATCCTGTGTTGGTTTAAAATATAACTTTTTAAAAAAGGTTTCACCTAATCAAGTGCGAAAATTTAAAAAAATAAATTAGCTCAATTGGACAAAAGGTCATTTTTAATGAAAATCGTCATATAGAGTTACTCTTTCTTTTACCCGAAGCATTTAAGGTTTAATTTTAAAGCTTTAAAGAGTAACTTAAGGCCGGTTCACCCTTGAAACACATCTAGGCTGAGTGTAAAACTCATCCTAACCTGTTTGCTCTTGTTTCACATCCAGTCACAGTGAAAAAATAAATAAAACCCAGGTAGCCTCTGTGCACCAAATAAGTAAACAATTGCATCAATAAACACGAAGAGCCATGCTTGACGTAAATCAATCACAGCGTCTGATAAAGCTTGATAATCATTAACCGTGTTTTGCTGAGAATTCATTCTAATCTCCTCTGTCAGCAGCTCTGCTCTCAGCAGCTCTTTATCTCTGCAGCTTCTTCAGCCCATCAACAGACATCTTCACCTCCTCTGCTTGGAAAACAAGGGATGATGGTGCTCTGTTATTCTGACATCTGTCAGCTTTTAATGCAACATCTAAAACTCAAACCTGATAATCACTGATAAGCGTTTTATTCCAAGTTAAAGGGGATGGAAATGATCATTAATAAGCAGCAGCTAAAGGAACTCTGAAGGGAAACTGAAGGAGAATCAGTCAAATAGTTTCTCCTTTTAGCAGTTATTCCCTGGTCTCCTTAACGTCCCACACTGCCCTCTACAGGCAACCTCTGTGTTTTCATGTCTTCTTCACAAGAACCCCCCATAAAACCCAAAAAGTTACTATTTATGCACATAATGTTAAGTAGTTTTACTGATTTTTAATTCATGTCAAATTTTAATGTATTTCAAATTATTTAGCATTTAATTATTTCATTGTGCATTTTATAATAATTTGTACATTAAATTTTTTTTATAATCTATTACATAAATAAAGAAATGTTACATAGACATACTTTATGGCACATTTATTTATTTAATGATATATTTTAGTCCTCCGTATACCTCAGGGATGACATCCCAATAGTTGTGAAAACAATCTAGCGACCCCTGAATTAGTGCTTTGTGACCTCCTGGTGTATCTCCACCTCCATTCCTGAAGTTATAAATATTTAAATCTTTAACTTTAGTTTAAAATATAAAAGTTTACTGAAAAGTATGCTGGGGATTGTGGGATTTATTTATAAAAGTTTCTCCCAGGAGAATTTATTTTTGATAATAGGGCTCCCTGCCCAGGGCGCCATGATGTTAGGAGTCACACAACATCTTGTTTTCTAGAGGAAAAGATGTTTTGAGCAAAACTGAGATTTTCTTTTTGTTAATCTTTATATCTTGCACTCAGGTGTTGTGTGACTCCTAACATCATGGTTTCAGTCCTTCCTTGTTTAGAGAATCCCTCCCACACTGTTGATGGGAAGTGTAAGTTTGATGTTGATGCTTTTTTGGATGTCATGTTCTAAATTTATATTTAGTGCTAAAGGTTTCCAGATGGATTTGCGGAGCAAATCCATCTGGAAACCTTCCGTTGAAGTAATTTTGGGAAGGGCCGAAAATACTGTTTAGCTGATTGGCCTATGTTGGTGATAGACGGGCCAAATAAACCAATCAGATCAACGAAGCATATGACGTACTAACAGAGCGACGACGAAAACACACTGGAAAAAAATCGAAATATAGATAAGTCATTTTTTCTTAAACTAAGAGCATTTGTTCTTGAAATGAAGAGTTAAAAGAAACATGTTGCCAATGGAACAAGACGATTTACACTTATAATAAGAAACTACAAATGCATTGTCTTATTTCAACTGCAATTTATCTAATTATCTTATTTTAAGAGTAAAAATACTCATTCCATTGGCGAACTATCTCATTTACCTACTCAAATTAGGGATAAATACACTTAATTGAAGAAATTTTTACTTATTTTTAGATCGCTTTTCCAGTGCACAACCACAAGCCAGGCTACTCTTGCCGAAACCAGCCGGGAGAAGAGCAAAACCATCTTTTCCTCTGAGAAAAGCCTCCAGAGCAGTGTTTTGCTCTTCTTTCAGTGAAGAAATACTCTGTAATTCCGATAAAACTTGCTCGATAGCCACGCTAACGCTAGTTTCATCGGCTGAAGCCGCCATGTTCTTTAGACTGAACTGTCGCGCTTCTCGTTGCGTCACACCTCAACCCGCCTCAAAGCCAACGCTGATTGGACGTTCGTTTGGTGAACGGCTCCAAATTTTCTTTAACAGAGAGTCTCCAGACTGATCTGCGAGTGAAACCTTGAAAGCTCGCGAGATCAGGATGGTCTGACGAGGGTAAAACGAATTATTTGTTTTACTACTTTTAGATGAAGAATCCTTAAACACTTTAATTGGAGTGTCTTACAATGAAAATTGTAGGAATTTTTTTAAATTGTAAAAATATTTTTCTAGGGCTGTAACAATTAATCAGATTAATCGTGATTAATCGATTACTGAAATAATCGTCAACTAATTTAATTATCGATTAACCGTTTACTGGAGTGTAGAGGCACTAAAACAGGCATTTAGCTGACAGAGCGACACACTTAGAGCAGCAGTTATACCAATATTGTTAAAATTTATATTTTAACCTTTTGCATTTAAGATTAAATTCAATATTCTCTATCCAGAACTTCTCACATGGAAAAGTTTTAGTTTCAGCTGGTTTAATTTCACAAGTCTACTTTAAGGAACCTTTTGCTTTCTGATTAATCGAAAAAATAATGGTTATTTGCAGCTCTAATTTTTTTGTTTTGCATCAGTCCTTCCTTGTTTAGAGAATCCCTCTGTGGTGCAGCAGATTAATTCAGTGTTTTTGAGCAAAAACACAGTAAATAAACCATTAGGGCTGAAACCCAACAGCTTTTCATCTTTGCTAGGTTTAACTTTTTATTTGCCGGATCAATTAGGAAAGTGAACAAGAAAAAAGGATCTAGGTTTATTGCATAAGATGATTTTAGAAAATAATAATATAAAAAATGTCTGTCTGATTGAATATTAAAAACAGAGCATTGTCTATATGAAATAAATCATTGGAGCCTGTAGGAGTTGAATATAATGCCTCCTTTTGGCAGATTTAAAGGTTCTATACAGACAAAATGAATGATGCATTAAAGGAAAAGTCCGCTAAGCAAGAATAATCAATGGATCGTTATTTATACCTAAAACGAATATGTTCGCAGTGATTTAATGAATTTAGGAATAATCAGTACAAAAAATTAAAACAATACATTTTATCGCGATTACTGAGTCTGGGAGCGGCCATTTTTCCCCAAATATAGTAGCCCCTCCCTCCTGCCATCTTCCAGCAGTGACGTCACGGTGCGGTAAGCCTAGCGCCATTCTCCCAGCTTTCCAAGCTAAATCAATGGGAACTACTAGACACATCTGCAATCAACAACAATTATTGAAGATTTCCAGAGGACTTCACCATTGAAATTCACCAGAGCTATAGTGAAACTGACAATGCCCACGTGCATGGCAGCTGGATGTTGGAATACATCGGGTAAAAGTGGAAAAAAAGAGTTATTCCACCTTTCTGATTCCTGATCCTCCACGGACGGGTTGGTCGTTGGATCGCCAACTTGAAGAGGGAGGATTTGCCATCGAACTTCTGGCCAGAGAAAAAACCCGTAATATGTAGCCAACATTTGGAAGAAGAATGATTTCAAGATGACTTGGATAATAGCGCGTTGTGACAAACACCAGATACAGCACTGGGACTTGATCAACAGCCGATACCGCACAGTGACGTCACAAACCAGTAGGTGGCAGTAGTGTTCTTTGAAAAACATGGATGCCTCCAGTAAAGCACATTCACATGAAAATTACTCAAAACACTTATTTTTATTGAACAGTATGTAAAAATTTCATATTTGAAATACTTTGAATTCTGAATGTGACTGGACCGGGCTGATTGCAGATGTGTCTAGTAGTTCCCATTGATTTAGCTTGTAAAGCGGGGAGAATGGCGCTAGGCTTACCGCACCGTGACGTCACTGCTGGAAGATGGCAGGAGGGAGGGGTTACTATATTTGGGCAAAAATGGCCGCTCCCAGACTCAATGATTGCGACAAAAATAGTTTTAATTTTTCCTCTGATTAACGCTACATACATTAAATCACTGCGAACGTATTAGTTTTAGGTATAAATAATGAAATAATGAGAACCAAACAGAGGATGAGGGGAGAGGTGGTTAAAAAAGCCGCTGTTTGTGCAGTTTGTTCTTTGAACTTGTTAATCAAAGATATTGCATTGCTAATAATGATAAATGGAAGAAATGGCTTGAATTTCTTCCTCCTTCCTCTTCTCCTCATCTTTGCTTTGCATCCTCAGCGCCTCCTTTTCAACTCAGCTGGAACTTGCAGAAAAACTTAAAGTGCGCTTTTGAGATGTTAACGAGCTGCTCCCAGGTGTAAAAGAAAAAAAAAAAAAAACTTGCTATGGTTACGCATCATAACAAATCTCCAGATAAAGGAATCAGTTCTTAACCAGCTGCCTGGCGTGGTAATCTAGTGATAATTAAAGATAAACGCCATGGCTCTTTAGTT